CTGTTACAATTACACTCTTCCACTTCATTCTGGCAATAATATAGCCAATTTGATTTCTATGGATTGGCAGATATTTGTAAGTCATTTTTCTGCTTCATTTCTCTTATATCCCATTACATCTTCCTCCTTAGAACTTCCAAAATGTGGCATTTCAGAGTGAACCTGACCCCAAAACTCAGACCCCCTTGTCTGCATCAGTGATCATAATAGATTGTATCTACAAAGGGGGAGGTGGTGTGAAGAACTACAATGAAGGGGCAGTTTCTTAGGAAGGAGGGAGCACATTCGAGGGTGGGGGGTGGGACATAGTATAATGGAATAACAGAGTTGGAAGAGACCTTGAAGATCTTCTAGTCCACCCCCTGGTCAAGCAGGAGACCCAAAGATGGATCAGAGACAGAAAGAGATTTAGAACAGAGACTCTCTAGAACAGTGATGGCGAACCTTTTAGAGACCGAGTACCCAAACTGCAACCCAAAACCCACTTATGCATTGTCGGGTGTCAGCTGGGTGTGGCCCATTGGGTGGGCGTGGCCTCCGCCACCGTGTGCAAAAAAAATCAGTCAATTTCAACTTCTCACAGGAAAAAAAAGATCTCACCCAGTCTGCCTTTATCACCGCAGCCACACCCACCCAATGGGCCACACCCACCCAATGAGCCACACCCACCTGGCAACCAACGATGCATAAGTGGGTTTTGGGTTGCAGTTTGGGCACTCGGTCTCTAAAAGGTTCGCCATCACTGCATTACAGGAACACATTATACCTCAGTCCTATGCCCATGCAAAGATATTTATTTATATAGTGGATACATTTAACTATACGTCTATACTCCAAAAGAGTTACAGGCTGTCTGAAGATGAGAAAGGCAGGGTCGTGTTTTTCCCTGATCAGACAACTATTCCTGAATCGCTTTTCTTTCAGTTAGATTCCAGGTGCATATAAAGTTATATAAGGTCATGAACAATGCTGTAGTATCCTTATACTGGAAAATAAAAGATTACATAATACCCTTAAATAAACCTGAAAATAAATGCTAAGTAACCCAATACCACTGCAGTGCTCAATGAATTGTGCAACTTCAGTTATATTATCTCTGTGAGAGAGTTTGTGCTAAAAGAAATATTTTGCAAAAGCGAACTTCAAGATTTGGGGAGTTGCACTCCCTGTCTAGAATTATATCCAACACAAAATACCCCTCTTTTTTCATAAAGCATCATCTGTTCTGTGCATGCATTTTTTATTTGTTTTTTATATTTGCTGCCTTGAGTTACAAATAACTCAAGGCAGAAAACATATCCAACACACTTTCCTCCTATTTGGGCTGAGAGTGACTGGCCTGGCCCAAAGTCACCCAGCTGGCTTTCATGGCTAAAGCAAGACATGAACTCCTGGTCTCCTGCTTTGTAGCCTGATACCTTAACTCTAGACTAAACTTTCCAAATGGCAGTGCTGCTTTAATTTATGTTAATTTCAATGCCTTTTTGAAGAACTGATTTCTCAATTCTTACATCAGTAATTCAGTTCTTCAGGATGGGGAAATGATTTCTCAACCCAACTACTATTTAAAATATGTTTTTAAAAAAACTATTTATTAAGGTAACATTCATAGATCAGAGATATGGCCTAAACATTTAAAACAAGGATAGACAATTTTTAGGGGGTTAGTATACATTTAGCATTTTGAAAGGATGGGTCACTAGATTCAAATACTGGCTAATTATGATCGATGTGGCCATTCACAAAACACCCATTTACCAAAAGACAAATTAATCTTGCAAAGAAGAGCAGATCCATGCCGTTCAGTATATCTGTAGTAATTCTGGCAGCTGCTAGATGGACCTCTTAAGTTAGTACATTTAGCCCACTACTGGTCTTCTTTTTATGTTAATATAGAGTTTAACACTGAACCAGGAACTAAACTAGATACTAAGGAGATATAACTATACATGGCTTTATGCATGGATCTATTTCAGAATAAGGCCGTGATCTGAAATAAATCTTCTGTTTGTTTATTCAGCAGTTTTCTGTCAATCTTCAAATCAACACAAAAGTCTATAAAACTTGTTTTATGCAACATTTTTTGATTTGGATCAAGCAGTAAGTCATGACTGACAGGTTTGGAACAAGTCTAGTTCAACACCAGTTGGAACTTTGAAAAAATGTTTATACATGGGTTAATCACATTACCTTGCTCATATAAAATAGGAAAGTATGATTACATGAAGCCTTGAACTGAAGGATCCCCAAAAGACAGAAAAACATGAAGCAAAAACTTTGAAATTATAGTACCTCAGTTAGCACATAGCTTAGATAGTTGGAAATATTAATTAAAATCTCCCTTCGCCAATTCTTTCAGGAAAAAAAATGTTGAGAATTATCCTGCTTAAGCTGTGCTTTAGAACACACTCACTACATCCCACCACAAACTAAGTTAAGACAGATTCCAGTTTCATTATTAGTTATCCTAGTTGTAATTATTAGATTTTGATAACATCTTTATTATTTTATAAATAGCTTAGGGTGATGAACATACATAATAGTCCTTGTTCCTCCTGTTTTCCCCACAACAATCATCCTGTCAGGTAGGTTGGGCTGAGAGTGAGTAATCCAAAATCATCCCGTCAGCTTTCATACTTAAGGCAGAATTAGAACTCACAGTCTCCTGATTTCTTAAACATTACATCAAACTGGTTCTCACACAGAGATATAGAAGTAGAATTAAGAGGCAAGTTGGAAAAAGCTTCTATTAAGATACACAAAGCTATAGTCTCATAAATTTGTCTACAGATGACACCAGATGAAGTGAGGTTTATGTTGTTTCTGGGAGAATGAATATACTACAGAACAAGTTACATTTTCTGGCAAAACCAATACATTTAAAAATAACAGTCCTGTTTGACACTCTTTATATTCTCAAATGACATATTGGCACTAATATCTTTGTCTAATATAATATACTTCCTCTAGGCATAATTTTTTCTATGTGAAGTTATTCTCAAAACCAGTCAAAATAACATCAATCTTCAAAAAAATTGGTAATAATAAAAGTGAACCCTGAACATCTCCATCAAATGGCCATCAGCATTTGAAACAAAAAGTCACCCTTGAATTCTACTCAGAGTAAAGGCTGTTTGAAATACCACTGATACTCTGTTTAACCCAATTTCCCTTAAAATGAACAAAACATCTGAACTGCTTTACTATAATAACCTTTGACTGAAAGAGCTATTCAATTTCCTGTGATTTTCTTGTTGTAGGTCAGGCATGTTGAATCTTGTTGTAGGTCAGGCATATTGACAGGCCACATGTAATCCTGGACAGCTACTAATACAGCTCCACAAGATTGTAAACTTTTAACATTATGTGATTTATATACATTAACTATATTATATATTTTATATGCAGCTGAAGACAATTCTTCTTCACTCAATGCGGTCCAGGCAAACCAAAATGTTGAACATCTATGCAGATCATTATGTGTATGTATATCAGAAGATTTCTTTCTTAGATCATTATGCACATATGTACCAGTAAATCATTATTACAGGATACATAATTGGGTTGAAACATATACAGCCTCTCTACACGATGGTGAATGTTCCAATCCTGTTTATATGAGGAAATAAATACATTGTGGCCCCTTAAAGAAGGGCATTATAGGTAGTTTACAAACAACATGACACCAGTATAAAACAGTACAGGTAGTCCTTGACGTACAACCATTCATTTAGTGACTGTTCAAAGTTACAACAGCATTAAAAAAAAGTGACTTACAACCTTAGCAACATCCATATTGTCACATGATCCAAATTTGGATGCTTGGCAATTGGCATGTGTTTATGACGGTTGCAGTGTCCTGGGGTCATGTGATCATCTTTTGTGACTTCTGACAAGCAAAGTCAATGGAAAAGCCAGATTCACTTAATAACTGTGTTAGTAAAATAACTGCAGTGATTCACTTCGCAACTATGGCAAGAAAGGTCATCAAATGGGGTAAAATTCACTATCTTACTTAGCAATAAAAATTTTGGGCTCAGTTGTGGTGGTAAGTCAAGGACCACTTGCATAAGCACAGAAAGTACTAAATGAACCAGCAATTGCAACAGAGTAGAGATATTGTGTTTATCTTTGGAGTGTACCTCTTCACATCAATTATTACAGCATTAGCTCCAGTTTTCCACATATTTTGCACTATGAAAAATAGTGACCTGCTTTCAATATACAACAGACGTTAGAACTTAATTGTAAACAAGGATTCTTTTTTTTTTCTTGGTTCCAATACTATTATGCTTGCTGAACAGATGGAGCAGGGCCAGGATAAGAAAGTGAAATGCCTTGCATAAAATATATGAACAAAGGATGTGTGTGTTTATCAGTTATCTCTATAATCTGAAAGGACCTGTCAAGAATTCATACAAGTACATACTCTGTGTGTGTGTGTGTGTGTGTGTGTGTGTGTGTGTGTGTGTGTGTGTGTGTGCGCGCGCGCGCGCACGCGCGCGCGCGCACACGGAACGGGGGGGGGGTTAACCCAGGGGCATAGGTGTGCTGTTAAAAAAACCAAGTTCTCAAATGCCAACCTGACAGCAACAATCTATCAAATTGGTTTAAACACGACCCTTTTCCCTCTTCCTGGAAAGCCAGCAGCACCTGTTGGATACCAGGAAGCTAGCCGCTTGCTCCACCATCGAGGCATCCCGGGAGGAGGAAAGCGCTCCCAGGTCAGGCCTGCCCCTCCATCCGCATCTGGCCTCAGATCAGACAGGAGCCCATCGGCGGCGATGACCCGTTGGGGACGGGGAAGAGGGGCCTAAGCTACTCCCGATAAGGAAATCGGAGCACTTAACACTCCCCCCACCATCCGCCGTGCGGGTATCACCCAGGGCTGGAGGAGCGCTTCACGCGCGTAAGCACGCGACTCCCGGTTACCACTTCTACTTCTTCCCTCTCCCCTCCGGCAAACTCAACCGACCCTTCCTTCCGCCCTAGCGACATACCTCCTCGCCGCCGCCGCCGCCGCTCCATCCCCCGATTCCATTTCTGACACTCGCCATATTCCCCGCCAGGGATTGTCCGCGCACAATCCGGATGGAACGCGAAGGCTTTCTGAGGCGCCCCAACGATCCAGAGGGCTCGCTTCCCGCGCCCTGAAGCCGGCTGTTACAACAGTCGGCGGATCGGCTTCTCCTCGACTGAAGCCACTTACAACCGGCTCCTGACGGCGTTCTAGCCGTCAAAGTGCGAGCCTTCTCATCTGCATATCTGGACCCGCCCCCGAGGACTCCAAAGCCTTTCATCCCTTTCCTGTCGGCTCTCGGGGCGGTGACGGCTCGCGCTCCGCTCGCAAGCAGAGCGCGCGGCTGTTTCTTTGGCAAAAAAGCGGTCTGGGATTCGAAGGTGCACCCATCGCGAAAGTGCTGCTGCGGCAGTGGCGGGGGGAGTTATTGTTTGCGCAAATCCTTTAAGCGCTTCGGGGGATGGAGGAACAGCCGCGTGAGGTACTGTTTCCTTGGATCCTCTCTCCTTCAAAGGATTTGAAAACTCCTCCTCTGGGCGCTAAGCGCGGGTCTAAGCGTACCAAGTTCTAACTACCCAGGTAGTCCTCGCTTACGACCGCTTTTGAGCCAACATTTCTCTTGCTCAGGCAGGTGTTAAAGAGTTCTGCCCCACTTTGCGACCGTTTTTTTTTACCTCAGTTGCTAAGTGAATCGTGTGGTTGTCAAGTGAATCTGCTTCCCTCACTGACTTTGCTTCTCAGAGGCTGGCTAGGAAGATTACAAGCGGAGATCACATGACCCTAGGACAGTATAGCTGTCATACAGTTGCCAAGCATCCAAAGTTGGATCACATGACCAAGAGGGTTGCTGCAGTGGTTGTAAGTGTGAAAATTGGTCATTTGTCACTTTTTTTCAGTGCCATTGGGACTTTGAATCATCACTAAATGAGTGGTTATAAATTAAGGAATTACCTATAGTGCCACGTTACATCACTACAGCAGGAGCAGCACCGGTTGCCAGTGTATTTCTGAATGTAGTTCAATGTGTGGATTGTTACTGTGGGAAGTCAGCCCCCCAGAGAAGGAAATATTAAAAGGGCAGAAAAATATATTTCCTCAAAGAATCTTAAAGAGGCATAAAACCATGCCCAGTTTTTTTTAATAGCTCCAAGTCTCCCTCCCCCAAGCAGAAATCAGCTCTATAGAAATGCAGATGTAAACCATTCAGGAATGGTTGAAACTGGAAGATTAAGAAGACAAAGAGATCTAAAATCTACATACCTCACCCAAAGACTAAGACAGGACATAATAGGATTAACTCACAGATGCCAAAGGGCACACCCAGACTCAGGTCAGAATACATGACCCAGGAAATACAAAGCCTCAAACAGGAACAGGAAACAACTCCAAACAAAAGGCTCCAGAGGGTATAAAAACCCACTCCCTACATGTGCTCTTTTTTTTTCTTCCAGAGCCATCTTTCTGTCTGGCTCTCCTCTTCAATAAACTATAACCTTCTTTCTAAAGCAGTCGCCATGTTGTTTATCCCCAGCTTGGACTGAACCATGATGAAGACTTTTCCTTCAACATTACCTTTATAACTTTACATGGCTCAGGGCTTGGACATTTAAGACCATCATCCAAAATAATCTCTTCCTAGTGGCAGAGCACCTCCTAGAGTCCCCACCTGTCAAAGGTGTGCCGAGAAGGAGGGGCTAAAGAGAGATATTCTGATGGCAGTTCCCCTTTTATGGAGCAGCTGTTCACCCCAAGGATGACCAGAGCACAGCCAGAAGCTAATAAAAACTTGTTTTTCCAAGAAGACCTTTGGGGACTTGAGCTACAGATCTATGTGTATACAAGTAGTCTTCACTTAGCAACGACAATTGGGATCGCCAATTCCATTGCTAAGTGCCATGGATGTTAAGTGAGATGTTACTTACCTGCAATTTGCAATGTTACTGCTGGCTTCTCCACTGACTTCTTGTCAAATGTTGGCTGTGAAATGCACAAATGGAGATCATGTGACTGCAGGAAGCTGCAAAGTTCATAAACAGCCATTGGTTTCAAAATTCCCAAATCTCAGTCACGGGACAGTCATAAATGTGAGGAACATTCATAAGATTACTTTTTTAGTGCTGTCCTAACTTTAAACAGTTGCTAAACATGGCAGCTGTTAACCAAGGACTACCTGTATAGACATGCACACAATATGTATTTATCTACGTAAATATATTGTGCGTATTTGATAACCTTTTATTAGATATTACTTGTTATATTTTTGTTAATAAAGATTTTAAATGTACATATATTCTTATTGCTATTTTAATATTTGTAAATCACTCAGGATTCCTGCAGACAGATGAATAGGTTGTATACACCCAAATAAAACTACACTGTGGTTTAGTGTAATGGGAGAACAAGCTTGCACCCAACCAGATTAGTTTTAAATGAAAATCAATATTTGAGAATAGTAGTACCATGCCTTCAATTAAACTTATTTCCATATCTGGACTGAACATAAAAAATTATGAAAAATGTTCATTGTATTTCTGATTTGATCTTTCATTTGCCCCTCCGCATCGACGAACAGACTAAATTTTTAATATTCACAATTTGTAAAAAAAAAAAAATTGTAAAAGGCCACTCATGCTACAAGAACTCATTCAATTTATGACAGCCCTACACCTTGCTGATTCAAAGAGTTGTCTTTCTAATATTTCCTGTTATTGTATTACGCTTCTTGAATCTGCAGCAACATAATAGTAATTTTTAGCATAGCTATGATGCAAAAGCATTTATTCTTTATCCCCATTGTGCACATATTAACCATAATTGGTTCCATCACTGCATTAACTAATTTCAAGTTCAGTATATCTGTTGTCTCATCTACTTAAGACACACTTCATCAAAAAAAAAAAAAAATCCAAAACACTTTGTTGAGACTTCATAGACATCACTTAATGAAAACAGTCAACCTTAACAGCTCTGTACAGGATATTATTAGTATATGGTTTCTATTTTAATGTTCGGGTTGTGGTAGAAAACAATTTCCAGTGAGCTCCATATATACTTTAAACTGGTGTATGTGATTATTTACTAAAGAGGACAAAATAAACAGCAAGAAAAAGATGCTTATCCTATTTCATTACCTTCCCTATAAATCAAGAAGCTTTGATTAGAAAGGAGGTTTAGGATTAGAAAGGCAGTTTACAACAAGTTACAAACGTCCCATTTTGGCTGTAATATTTATTGATGGTTTAATTGTCCTTTATATAAGATTTGCACTATTTCAAGGAAATGTGTATTTGAAAAAAGAGCTAAATTTCTCTCAAGCAAAAATTTGGACAATTGTCAAGCAGCATTTAGAAATTGCATTAATTTGCTCTGGATCCAGAAATGAACAGCTAGAACCTATGAGGACTCCTTGTTTTAGCTATAGGTTTATTTCTTTTAGTCCCTAATATCTGCAGTAATGAAGGGGTATTAAAGACTTTTCATACGGGAATGTTGCAAGGTCATTAAGCTAATGTTAAATAGTATGAACATTGGACCAATAACTATATATATACTATTGTTATTCAAAAGAAGGTTAAAATAAGACATTGCACCAACTAATTGTCAACACTGCTAACATTGGATGTTTTTGCATTGACAACAGATGGAAATGTAGCCATCTTTTACCTTTTACTTTTAGAGTTAGATGATGCTGGGAAGGGGGATGTGAACAAGAGTCCAACTAGTCATAACAACACTAAACGTGAGAAACAAGGTTATTGTAACCAGAGCTGATAAGGAATTGACAGGCTGGAGAACTGGAGAGGACGCCTGCGCTTCAAGCTAAATTGGGGAACGTGATTTATAACTGTTAATTGAAGGAGGCAAATGTGCTTTGATTCTACGTGCTCAGGGGAGGGGAATTCAGTTTTTGGCTTCGATTATGCAGTGCCAATATTAATGCTACTCAAAATAAAGATTCTTTAAGGTAAACAATGCCTCAAAGTTCTTTTGAAGAGTTTCATCTGTCGGAACCATGACACTAATTTTTCTAACAACATATCAAGAAAATTATGGTAGCCAGTTTGCAGAGGCGGAAAAGTACATGTTGTACTCGGGTTATTGTTCATGATGAAATTGTCCACATTAATTTTTTTTACCCTTCATTATCAAATTACAACAACATTGAAACTGCCATGAAAAAGTATTCCTTAAAAAAGGGTTGCCTCTCTGATTAGAGACCTTGGTCGGGATTTAGAAGGAGTCCTTCCTGATCCTATTTGAATTCTTGGCAATGTTCAATACCATTGATATGGTTGTCTTCTGGAATAACTTTGTAGGCTGGGGAATGAAGTGACTATTTTGCAGAGATTCTCCTTCCTAGGAAAACAATGTCAGTTAGAGAAGCTGCGGGAATAATGCTCAGATTTATGGTTACTCCAATGTGAGTACTAATAATAGTAGTAAAGTTGGAAGGGACCTTGGAGGTCATCTAGTCCAACCCCCTGCTCGGGCAGGAAACCCTACACAATTTCGGACAAGTGGCTGTCCAGTCTCTTCTTAAAAACTTCCAGTGTTGGAGTATTTACTGCTTCTGGAGGCAAGCTGTTCCACTGATTAATTGTTCTCACTGTCAGGAAGTTTCTCCTTAGTTCTAGGTTGCTTCTCTCCTTGATTAGTTTCCACCCGTTGCTTCTTGTCCTGCCTTCAGGTGCTTTGGAAAATAGCTTAATTCCCTCTTCTTTATGGCAGCCCCTGAGATATTGGAATACTGCTATCATGTCCCCCCTTGTCCTTCTCTTCGTTAAACTAGACATACCCAATTCTAGCAACCGTTCCTTATATGTTTTAGCCTCCAGTCCCCTAATCATCTTTGTTGCTCTTCTCTGTACTCTTTCTAGAGTCTCAACATCTTTTTTACATCGTGGTGACCAAAACTGGATGCAGTATTCCAAGTGTGGCCTTACCAAGGCATTGAAGAGTGGTATTAATACTTCACGTGATCTTGATTCTATCCCTCTGTTAATGCAGCCTAGCACTGTGTTGGCCTTTTTGGCAGCTGCAGCACACTGCTGGCTCATATTTAAGTGATTGTCTACTAGGACTCCGAGGTCCCTCTCACAGTTACTACTATTGAGCATGGTGCCACCTATGCTGTACTTGTGCATTTGGTTTTTCTTGCCTAAATGTAGAACCTTGCTTTTTTCACCATTGAATTTCATTTTGTTAGTTAGTGCCCAGTGTTCAAGTCTGTCCAGATCCTTCTGTATCTTAAGCCTGTCTTCTGGAGTGTTGGCTATTCCTGCCAGCTTGGTGTCGTCTGCAAATTTGATGAGTTCCCCATCTATCCCTTCATCCAAGTCATTGATGAAGATGTTGAAGAGTACTGGGCCCAGAACAGAGCCCTGGGGCACCCCACTACACACTTCCCTCCATATAGATGCAGTTCCATTGAGGAC